TTGATTGGCTATCATTAAAAAAAAAAAAAAAATAAGCAATAATTCATTTATTTAAATTGGAAAACTTCTTTAAGTCAAAATAAAATACTGATACCATCAATATTGGTTAATAGATACGGTCTGAATGTTACAAATAAAAATCGTAGTTCGAACGAACTTGCGTGAAAAGATGAAACGAAAGGCACACACGGATGTCTCATCTAAATTTTCATAATTATAATTCTGCCACGCGGCCAAGCGAAAACAAATTTCGGCATATTCGAGCAAACGAAAAAGTTAAAGATCGTCGAAGACTACGCTAAATCGCACTGTGTAATTTATTTATCTCCTACTTTGCCGATGCGCGAAACCGTTTTAACGAACTGGTCTGAAACTTTCGATCCGCCGTTTAATAGAATCTGTTAATTGCAATTTATACCGGCGCGTTAAGAGGCCGACGGCTCGGTGACACCGGCGACACGATCGAAGACGATACCGGATCAATAATTGACAAATTGCATTTTACGATGTGGGTCAATTGGCGGCACGCAACGACAACTCGATATCTTTATTTTCGTTTCATTATTCTTAATTACAGGTGCAAAATATCCTGGACGAAAACTATAAATCTACAAGTATAAATTCTTTTATTCGAAATAAGTAAATCGCGGTAACAATTGCGTTTCAGATTCGCTTCGACAAACGTTTTTAACGTTCCTTTCTTTTTTTTATAAACTATCTGCGACGCTTTCTACAAATTCTAGAATTCTTCGTCGAATAAAAATGGCGGTGTATGTGTAACCCGATAACCCCGTTCTCCCAAAACAGTTTAAACAATCCTGTTTTCACCAGTTCCGCCCCCTTTTTTCGGGCTCCGGCGTGCCTGGGGATTGCAAACTAGGCCAGTGGAGTGGAAATAGAAAGTTAATAATTTAGATTTGCGCGTTCGAATTTTTTTTACGGTATTCAGGTCGTTTCCAACGCGTTTGCAATGGTTGTCGATGATCTTCGTTACTCGATATCAGATCTCTCACGTTTTACGCGAAGGATTCTTAAATAACGAAAACTTGTGCTCCCCTATTCTGCAACTATAGATCATAGTGACAGTGATATTTTTAATTTTTAATGAAAACAACATAATACGTTTACTTATTTCGCGTCTAAATATCCGACAATTTTTGTACAACAATTTTCAAAAAAGCGAATTACTTCCTAGGTAATTTCGTAACAACAATTCTCTGAAATAAGAAGGTCTGATAAATTTCAGACTTGTTATTCTGATGAAAATAATTAATCCCTAGATATAGCATGATAGTTAAAATGCTATTCACCCGAAATAATTATTCCAATGGGGTGGATGTTAACGCTGGAACAACATCGAGGTCAGTAATTATAAATCATTATATTTTTCATAACAATGTTCACAAAGTTTTTCGACAAATCTCTCAGTGGTATGTAGATATCAAAAGTCGTAGAATCGTTTTATTTAAGCATGCACGTCTTTCGTGAATTTCGATGGAAGGGGGCACATGTTAAGACAAGGGGAAGCAAATGGCAGTCGAAGGGTCGCGTTATTCCTGTTTGACGGCTCGTTCGAATTTCAGATTTCGCAGTACGGTCAATGTAAATTCGTTTCCGGCTTTGATGAGGCGTTCGTGAACTTCGCTGTGTCTCAAGTGCTGTACAGTCTCTCCGTTTATTTTGACAACCAGGTCGCCGGCGTGCACGCCGGCTCGGTCGGCCAAACCTCCGAGAGACACCTGGCAAAAAGAAGAGAACACTCTTTAAATCGTCGTATAAGCTTGTTCGCATGCGAGCTGTCAGTTTCGCTGCTCGGTTATGCGCCACGATATTCGGCACACCCGGTACGTATGCCGCGCGCGACTTAGGCGTAGCGTTGTTCAATACTTCGACCGATGCACGGATGAATATTTATGGGAAAAAGAAACGCGGATATATTTGTTTGGCTGAATTATTAACGACATTCTATTTCCATACAGATTTTAGAATGTCGACAGATTATCGAAAAATTTGTTTCGCTCGAGCGTGGTTCCAGTTTCGCTATAAATAATAGAAACACGACGGAGCGACGCACAGTAAGCAATAAAACGAAGTGAAAACCGTGTTGATCGTACGATAAATATATTTCTTTACGGCGAGCAAGATTAATGGCGCGATTAAAAAGCAATATTTTAAACATTTTCCAGTGAACCAACCCTCTGAAACGTTTCGAAGAAGATTCCAGTCGATCGATCCGCTCTTAAAAAAGTTATTGCGTTCTGAGAGGTGTTCGAATACTTCCTTTCGCCGGACGTAGCAATTAGTGGTTTTTTTTTTTAAATAACAAACGGTAACAGTACAAATAGTAAAATGTACGTGGTTTCATCGACGATGAAACAGTGTTCGGAGTCGAGTGAAATTTCTCGCTAACGAACGGCAATTTCGTTGCAGCAAATTAATCGAACGATGATTAAACGATAAAAAGTCTGGGACGGCAATGAATGGCGAATGGCACCTTTCATCTGGCATTGAAATGACATTCTGCCAAAAATAAACTAGCGTCCGGATGCTTTCAAGCGGTAGTTGAATACAAGCGACGAGCTGCGCCCGTCTTTCCCTTGGTAACAGGTTAAATTCTCTATTCAGCGAGGGATTAAAGGGCGGATGGTGGGGCAGAGAGATAGGGCCGAACCAAATGACTGGGAACGATCATCGGGGGGGAAGTTGTTTAAAAAAAACTCCCCGACCGCGCGACAGAGTCTCATCTGCGATTCGATTAATGACTTCCTTTTGTTCAGATCGATATCCAGCCGGACCGCAGGATTCAAGCCACACGGAAACGAGGTCACGCGATCCGATACGAGGCGAAACGGTGATAAAAATCTCGACAGAAGAAAACCGCGAATATATTTCACGGGACAATTACCGTTGCGCGTCGATATCAGTCCGGATTCAACGGGAAACGTGCCCGGCGTTGTTAAACAAATCGGCTTCTTAATTCTGCCGATCGGACTTTGATCGACGAACTTTCGAGACGCATTTTTCACGTTGCAAATCGATTGACCCGCCGCATAACTCGACGGTATGTACTTCCAAGGAATAATACTGCGATTCGTGCGACTCGTTGATCTAATCTCGGCCTTTCGAGCTCTGTGGAAAATTTAACGATTCCCTTGGAAACAGTTTGCGAATTAACGAAATCGTTTGGTTCTGATTAAATGGAACGTTTGTTTTGAAAGTGGCGCGAGTCTATTTGCTTTAGTTATAAATAAATAAAAAGGTTACACTGAATTAATCACAAATTTTGCGATATCTCATTTTTTCGATATCGTCGTCCAGATATTTTGCGAGAGGCAACTTTTTCAAAATTGGACCAAACGACTTGAAATGTTTCGAGACGTTAGTTTATTAAACAATGCGTGGCAAAATATCTATTGTTGTTTATTGTTCACAATTATTTATTGTTGTGTCGTCATAATCTCGCGGTATAGATAATGCACACGTGCACATAAATCTTGTCCAAATAACTAAATAAAATAATGACAATATGGAAAATATTTCATACTGTTGTAAATAGCAAGAAAAGTATGTGAAAATGGAGAAATTGAAAATTAAAGGTTATAGTGTTTTTTATGATCTGTATAATTCCTACCAAGCACAATTTGTTAAAATTTCATTTCCTACAACATAGACGATAAAAAACACAACACTTTTAACGCAACTTCTATCCTGTATCATATATGTATGCAGTTCCCTAAATAGTCGTGATAATATGAAAAGTTTGGAAGCTGTCCTCGCCCTTAAATATCGTTTTCACCAGGAAGAAACTGTTCCGTTATTAGTATCACGTGAACTACATTTGTGCGAAGTTTCAAATGTTTTTTTAATTCTCGAGTTGCAAAACTTTTCTTGTTATCCCAAGAGAAACACCTGACAACTGGCGTGTATTTAAATAGAGATTGCACGGCGCGAGATTCTTTTTCTTCTGTTATTACAGTAAATGCAACGAATATTAAATGAACTTAAAACGTGCATAATAATCTATCTACAGTGTGTATA